ACGCACCTCATGATTGCTTTGAACAGATGAAAATGGAAACAACATACCTCCCAGCTGTACATGAAGCTGCCTTACAAGAACCTGAACTCACCCTGTTTGTGGATGGCTCCAGATATGCTGATGAACACGGAAGATATCATACTGGATTTGCTGTCACCACAGTGGATGAAGTACTTCAAGCATCCCCACTTCCCTCATCCATGTCTGCACAGGAGGCTGAGCTACAGGCTCTCACCACAGAATGCAAGATTTCTGAAGGAAAATGCGCCAATTTCTACACTGACTCAAGATATGCACTAGGTGTGGCACATGACTTTGGATTAATCTGGAAGACAAGAGGATTTCTCACAGCAAACATAGCATGGCTATTAAGAATCTGATGGATGCCCTACTCCACCCTGAAGAAGTGGCCATACTGAAGGTAAAGGCTCACAGGAGACTGAACTCGGTGAAGCACGAGGCAACTATATAGCTGATCAAGCCGCCAAAGACGCTGCGTGTGCACCATGGGAAGTGGACAGAAGAGTGTCCACCGAAGAAATCCCCATATTCACTATGCAGACCTTACCCACAGATCTCAAGCTCCTGAAGGAACAACAAGCAGCTGCTGATCCTGAAGAAATTCAAAGCTGGAAACAGAAATGGGCAACCCTTCAAGACGGGCTGTACTCCAACAACCTCAAGTTCTGTTTACCTAAGAGCATGTATTCAGCAGTGGTCCAGCGGGCCCATGGAGCATCATGCCTGTCCAAGACCCTCATGAACTCTCTGATCAGCAAATACTATGAAGCACCAGGAATTACCTCTCTGACAAACAGCTACTGCAGATCCTGCACCATCTGTGCCAAGTGCAACCCAGGCAGGATGGAAAAAGCCCCCCGAAGCATCTAGCCAAACCTCACTACCCCTTCCAAAGAATCCAAGTTGACCACATTAAAATGCCAAAGAGTGGCCTGTATGAATATGAACTGGTCATAGTGGACATGTTCTCAGGATGGCCAGAGGCCTACCTAGTCACCAACATGACAGCCAAGACCACAGCCAAACGCCTGCTCACCGAAGTAGTATGCAGATATGGGGTCTCAGAAGTAATCGAAAGGGATCAGGGCCCGGCCTTCACGGCATCAGTAACCAAAGAAATCTGGGCAGCACTGGGGGTGACGCTTGCATTCCACACTCCCTATCACCCTCAGAGTAGTGGTAAGATAGAACGCATGAATGGCACGTTAAAAGCAAGGATGATGAAAATGGCCCAATAAACTAACCTGTCCTAGCCAGAGAGTCTCCCCATTGCCCTGTTCAGCATCAGGTACACACCAAGAGGGAGGTTTGCCCTGTCCCCTTATGAGATCCTGTTTGGGTCAGCACCTAGACTTGGATGCTATTTCCCCCAACAACTCCAGCTCCATTCTGACATACTGGTTGACTATGTCACTGCTCTCTCGTTGACCAAAATCCATGCACAAGTGTTCTCTTCCATGCCAGATCCAGAGTCTGATACAGGCACCCACCGACTGCTTCCTGGTGGTTGGGTTCTGGTTAAGAAATTAGTGAGAAAACACACTCTTGATTCAAGATATGATGGTCCCTTCCATGTCCTCCTAGTCACAGCCACTTCTGTTAAATTGGCCAGGAAGAACACCTGGATACACGCTTCCCTCTGCAAAAAGGTTCCAGCCCCAGAGGAGGTGGACTGTCCTAAGCCATGATCTTCCTGTGCATCCTTTCACTACTAGGCCTGACAAGGGCCCAACAAGTTGCCATTACTAAAGAACACAACAGACAATGAGAGCAAGAATAATCAAAATTACCAGGACCGCCACACCTATCTGGGACAGAACCTGCTGCCACCCACTCATCCACCCAAACCATCTTTCCCATGGATCTGTGACCCCAGAATTCCTTTTTAATTCTTCCGAGAGACTTTCTAATTTCTCTGTTGCCAGGGTCACCTTGCCATTCGGGCCTGTGTTATCTGGAATGTAGGTGCAACATGTCATGGTGTCAGGAAGTATTTTACATACTCCTCCTTTCTCCACTAGGATAATGTCTAGGGCCATCCTGTTGTGGAAAGTCATCTGGGATGTGGTCTGAAGTTGCTCAGCAATCCCCTGAAAGGCATCTCTTATATAGTTTACAAACCGTTGTTGGTTGTAATAGATATAATTAATCCAATTTAGATTCTTATTGGCAGTAATGATTGGGAGAATGGATTCAAATCCTGTAGAAACTTCATCTCTTGCCTTGAATTCATTTGGCACCCCCAATGGCACCCCAATGGCATCTATATATATATGGGGGGTCGAAGCTGCCTTTTACAGGGGTGCTTCTTCTTGTCCTGATGTGTGAGTGTGATGTGCCAAGTGTATCTTGGTGACTGTCGGATATTATGTGTATTGGCAAAATAACCTTGGCTAGGCTGCATTCCCCCCCACCATAAACCTTCCAACCTTGTCCTGAGCTGCTTATCCCCACACAACCAATATATGTCCCCCAGGGATTTAATCTGATTCTGTAGCAAGGCGGCTGGAAATGTGCTATAAGTGGCACAATATTTGCCAGTGAAATTACCCAAAAACCTACCTATTCCTTCATATATACCATAACAAGTATAGTTCCCTGGATAGATGGTAATACCCTCATCTGGTTTGGGGTTCTTAGCCATAACTGGATACTCCTTTTTCCATGATTCGCAAACTGATTGGTTAGTCTTACAGTTAATGAAAAGACTCAGAAAACACACTTCTATGTCAGGGGGTAGGATTAGGGGTACAGTACCTAGGTGGGGTCTTGATCCTCCACAGACATAGCAGTTAGTTCTATTGTGTTTGCTAGCATGATATCTAATCCATTCAAGCCATAGGTTAGTGTCAGAGAATCCTGTCTCTGTAGCCATAGTGTCTTCAAATGTAGGGTTTGCTATGGCCACCATGTCCTTAAAGGTCTGGATGTGGGGTTTGAGTGGGTTAGTAATCCCCACATGTCAGGAAGCTACCCACTCAGGTGATTGATACATATCTTGGAGATATGTTTTGGTAAAGTCATTCTGCACAGTAAGGACTCCCCATTACTGTCCACTCTGTCCAGGGCACTCTGTGGTTTGTATCCCCAAGTTGTTCCTGCGTTCCAACCCGCCGCCCTCCAGGAACTGCAGTCATGTCCCCAATAACCGTCTGTAACACATATATATGGGTCTTTTATGCAGGGTATATCCTTGTATACAGTTTGTACCAATGATTGTGGGAATGGACAGCTGACAATATCACAATAGTCAAATGCAAAGGTAGCTACATTTGTGTTAGAAGAGTTATACCAATACGTAAACACATTATTGTCTTTAGTAATGGCAACTTGTTGGGCCCTTGTCAGGCCAAATAGTGAAAGGATGCACAGGAAGATCATGGCTTAGGACAGTTAAGAAATGAATACAGAAAACAGCAAATCAGGCCCCACTGACTTTCATTCATCAAGAGATAGATGAGGAGGATTATGATAAACCCTATGCTCCGTTGCAGTCCTTTACCGCCAAGAATACAGCATTTTAGGGATAGTAGGGATAGCATCTGTCTTTGTGGGCACAGTCTGTAACGAGGGGGTGGTGGACAAGCCACTGCTCGTCTTATGCTCAGCACCAAACGAGTTTGAGGCCTGATGAGACTGGACTGATGAGCTGTAGGGACAGATTTTAGGGACAGAAATAGCTGCTAGAGACTGTTGTTAGTAAATAGTCATTTTAAGGGGGGACTGTTATGGATAGAAACTAACACTTAGGTAAAATGTCTATTTACTATGTATACCTGTATTCGGTATTTACTAAAAATGGCTGCTAGAACACCCCCTCCCATCGACCAAACACCTCGTGTAACAAGATGGCGTCTCCATACGGAGTAAAATCCAGAGATTATGGTGACATCACACTTTGGAGGAAGTGCATTAGATAAGACACTTAACCAATTAAAGATGTACTTTCTATGCTATCTCATGTTTTGCATTTGATGTATTTTGTGCATTATAAGGGGCTTGCCGTCCCTCTAAGTAAACATTCCAAAGTTTTTCATTAACCTGAAAACTGTGTCTCAGTGTGATTTACTTCAGCATGCACGCACCTTATTTCAAACAAACTGAACAGGGGCAGATATTCAAAAACACTTGCATGGACTGTAGCCCCTATACCTTCCAGCACCCAGTATAGCCCCTATCACTCTTGCATCCACTGCAGCCACTATCCCCCATGCACCTACTACAGCTTATATCTCCACACGCACACACTGCAGACACTATCCAGACAAACTGCAGCATTTATCTCCCACACAGTAGAGCCTCTATTATCCAAACAAACACTCACTACAGCCCCAGTATCCCCCAGACACCTACTATGGTCCCTATCCCACACACATACAACAGGCCCTATCACACACACTGCAATACAACCAGCCATCTCAATCCACATACTGTGATGGGATTTCAACATGGTTCAAAATTTAGTAGGCTTGAAATCTCCATGTGGCATATACAAGTACAGGTGTTTGTTGTATCTGTTACTTAGTTACATGTAGCTAAGATACTGTCATCAATGTACTGAGCATGTTCATCAACTGTAGTCACATTCCTTTGTCCTTAAAAGGAGTCATACGGTCTGCCCATATGAGGTGATCCTGAATATCTTGTTCACTGATTGGTCTAAGGGTATGTGTGGGTGAAGCTAGGAATAGGAGGAGTTATTGTTAATAAAAGGCATTTGCAATCTGTGCTCTGGGCTCAGACATCTTTAGAACAGGAGTTCATCTGAGACCCGATCGGTAACAATAAAGACCTTTTTCTTCCTGAACGATCATGCTTCCATTTCTCTGTGTGTGGCTTCTGCGGCTTTCTCCTGCAACATAATTGGTGCATTGGCGGCGGGAACTTCATCGCACGGAAGCCAGCGCAGAGATTTGAGATGGTAATCTTTTATCAAATCTTCCATGGCTGCACTCCTGGACTTCTACTGCGTGGACCTCCTTTCGTCTCTGCGCCACTGGCCTGTTGTCCAGGAGATCATCGGCTTCTGCGCAGTGAGTACCGGGGTGTCCCGTCGATGAGTGTGAGCCCAGGTCCAGGAATTAAAGGTTAGTCTGTGAACCCACTAGGGGTAGAAATCTGTATCCGGTAATCTGACTGCCCCCTTCCTAAGAAGGGAAGATATGAAGGCGCACTGTATATCTGAAGTTGAACGCTCTGTAGCTAGCCCATTTAGGGCTGTAGTCAGGCTGAATTATATATGTTCAGCCGAACACTGGTATCATGGATTGACTAAGTATAATCCTGTTGTAAATTCGGTCACTAGATCAGGGGATACCCGCGAGACTAAGCGAGAATCTGTTGTATATTGCATCTGCTAGCTCTCACACTATCTTGACTAAGTGTGTTCTGTTGTACATTCCGTTCACTAGATCGTGGTGCCTAGGCAGCGTAGACTAGTTGAATTCTGGTGTACATTCCGTTCACTTGTCCTCAAGGTGCTGGCTAGTTAGAATAGTTGGGTTTGCTGTAAAAGTTGTAAAATAGTTGTAATTGGTGAAATGTATGTCCTGCTAGAAAGCTTGAGCTCTGCCGTTTAGCGGACTTGTAAAAAGTGTGTATAGTGTAAAATTGAGCACAACACCATAGCAACTTCATAATACCATAACCACTTAAAAATACCATAACTACTTCATAATACCATAACTACTTCAAAATACCATAACCACTCCATAATACCATAGCCACTTCATAATACCATAACTACTCCATAATACCATAACCACTGACATTACATTAACGACACTGAAATTACTGTTTGACATTGTATGTGTAACACCTTAACTATTACTAATTGATATTGTAACTCTAACACCATAATTATCTAACTGTACAATAGTTACTAACCATACCATTACCACTGACGGTAGAGACGAAATTGCTAAAATGTTATGTGATCGGTTAGTCTAATTTGATTAATAGTGTAGATAATTGTATGGTTTGCTTAATAGTTACATTGATAAGTGTATAGTTCTTGGTGGGTTTTTTGATTTTATTTTGTGTTTGCGACGTCGTGATATTGTTGAGTGTGTGAGGATCCTGTGAGTGTGTGTACGTGTATGTTTGGGCCTAGTAACCGTGCCGCGTGGTGCTATTGCTAAGGTACCTGGTGTGACTGTTGAAACTTTGTATATTTGTACTGCTTTGAATCCGATGCTCTGTTGAAATCATGGGTGCTTCTGATTCACAAACTGTTGGTCCTTTGTCTTGTATGTTTTGAAAAAAAAAAAATTTTTGCTAAGCGATATGCTGTTTGTGATTATGGTGTAACACTGTCCCCCCAAAATATTAAAATACTCTGTGTAGCAGAGAATGGCCTGTTCTTGTAACCAGTGACCCTCCTGTGGTAGCCTTGATCCAGATTTAATACAGCAGGTTTACATTGTTATAAATAATATACTGGGGCTATATGAGTAGTTTCTGTATACAGATTGTTGAAACACTGCTAAATGGATCAAGCTGTGCCAAGAGGAACAATGGAGTCACATGGTAGCCAGAACTTGTTTGTCCACTAAGGCCTAAATTCCACCTAGTTTGGACACCCCCATTGCATCTGATTACTAACCCCCTTCTCTTCCTCCCAAGCTAAAACTGGTATAGCTGGAGTTTGCACTCCCCCTGCTCTATTGTCCCTGCCTACCCATATACCTATCTCATACTCTGTTTTTTGTTTCAAAGTTCTCCTATTTCTGTACCAACCCCCACTGGTTCTTTGTACTTTGAATTGATTCCTTTTCGGTAGGAGTGTTGTGACAAGACCAATCTCGCCACTGTGCCCGCCTGCTGCCTTTAGACTATGGCCCCATGTTGAAACGCTTGATTTTCCCCTGCAAAGACACGAAAGCCGGGTCATTCGGTACTGGCCCTATTTGAACAGTGATACCCCAGATAGCTATGCCATGGAGCATAATATGTGTGCTCAGATCTAAGCTATCTGGGGATATGTTGAATGTACCTGTTTTATGCAATAGCTGCACAGTTATATATTTTTATGTATTTTATTGTCTTTTGCTACCATGTGTTCAATTGAGTTTTGCCTCTGTCCTTGGAGATAATTGGATTACTTCCCAATTATCTCCAGGATAGAAGACTCTGTGGAACTGGTTTTGGGCAGAAAAGCCATGCTTCATTTGGTCACAAAGGACTTTGATCTATCTTTTGAGCCAATGGACCAATTTTGATGATTTTGACATATGGAGTATGCTGATTCTGGGAATGTGATGTATAATTTTAAAGTTATGAATAATGTGGAAAAACTACATTTCTCTGCCCAACCCATTGTGTAAGGTAATTGTATCACAGGCAGAGGGCAGGATTTTGTGTGGGAGTGTCTGAGTATATTGTACGTTTATTGGTTGTTTTACAAAACCCTGTGGGTGGAACTAATATGTAAGAATGTGTATATAAGAACAATAAACCCACAGCTCTGTCTGTTCACTGCTTGACCCTCAACATGGAGCTTTGTCTCGTTTTTTGGGGGGGGATTTACTGTATGCTGTTAGAGACTGATTGCCAGGAGTGTAAGCCGCTTGGGTTCTTTACCTGTTCAGCTGCTAGCAGCTATTCGTGAGGTTCCAGTTCGGGAGTTTGGAGTGCTACATTGTATCCTTTTCGTGAGTTTGGGGTTCTGCAGAAGCTGTGCCTGTGTCTCTGGAAGGGGAAGATCTACTAAACGGCGGTTTAACCCTTTTATGCCTGGGGGTGCCGTTACAAGTGTATTTTAGCATTGAATTTTATTAAAATACAAACTGAGATGCTTAATTAAGAACATAATTAAAGTCTATCTGCTTCATTAGACTTTAGGACGCACTCTAGGACCACCTACTGGCTATCTTCGGGAGTTACATTGATTTACATTTAAAATACTAATGAACATTTAATCATCCTTAACGCTATATTGGCATACAACAGACAGAAGTAGGACTGCTTATCCTATTTTAATATTCATTGCTATAAGGTTTCATTTTAGGTATAAATATATTAAAAGTTACGTTTTTATTATTAGACCCATAAAGACTATTTTTGATACAATTATTTACCCTCTGGTGACACCTACTGGCAGGTTTTTGATTTAATACATTTTTATTTTTCAACCACCTAATTCTGACCAGTACACTTAATTCACCCCCTTCCACTCACCTAATAACTCCCCGACCGGAACCTGTTACTAAACAACCCTACCGAAGTCCCATACTAACTCGACAAATGACTGATACCCTCCAACCCCGATGTAAGGAAACCTAAGATATCCAATCCTCATTCGGTAGTTTCCTCCTGAACCACCAGAGCATCAGTGATTATAGCTCTCCGTTCGGTAGATGCAACAAACGAAATCCATACGAACACAATAGCTTTACAAGATGATTCCTTAATAAAGCATACGAATCCCCAAACATCAGCCGAAGTCAAGAAGAAGGGTACAACAGAACTGTCTTTTAATGACCACACACTGGCTTTTATGCAAATCCCCATGCAAGGGGACATCCCACAGGGAGGGACACAGTACAACCAATCATTTACAGGAAAAACGTAAAACACTCCCAGCACAAACATACAATTCCCTCCCCTAGTCCTGGAGATAATCAAGTCTGATAAAGTAATAACTTGATTATCTCCAGGCAGAAAAATTAAAATTTTCCCCAATATTCAGAACACCCCTTTAGGCATGTGGTATCCCCACAAACAATATGCCCCCCTGATCTAGGTGACCAACATATTCAAATTTCACCCAGATCGGTTCAGGGGTTCTCAAAAAGTATGGAAGTCTTTTGTGACCGGCTAACTGCGAGGTGGCTGCCCAAAATAGTTCCAGGAGTTTGGGTAGTTTTGCCGGTCTATTCAGTTAAGTGGCAAAAACTGAATAATTCCACGAATGGATTCCCCTGGCTCTTAGCAGTGATTGTTCCCCTCATTCGAATGCACAAAAGTACTGAACAGCGCTCTTCTAGCTGTTCGGGAAATAAAGATCCAGCGTTCGCTTGTTGAGACCGATGTTCGGGAAGTCGAGTGTCCGATTTTAGTTCCAGACACTCAACGACCAAGTCCCGCTGCCTTTGTTCGCAGGAAAAAAGATGGCCGCGGTTTTCTCAGCCACGTGGTCTTCGGAGGTATGAACGCCAGCAGCACAGATAGAGGGTTCAATTGAGGCATTTTTGAAGTTTAATGAGCCAGGGGGGCGGTCTCTGTTCGGTAGTTACATCTACCGAATGAATAGGGAAGAAATATTGCACATAAAGGAGGGATTTCTTCACACCCGACATTTACAAATGCCTCTACAGCTTACCTCTGGTCCACCACATATTGCTGAATGATTAACTCAGCATTTGTCAGCCAGGCCCAGAGTGATATCAAGAGAAAATTACAAAAGTTAGAGGGATGTGCAGGAATGTCCATATCACAGTGAATGGAGGTTGCAAATAAGGTATATGTGAATAAGGAAACTGAGACAAAGCGTGAGGATGAACGTAAAATGAGGAAGAAAACAGACTTGTTAGCGGTAGCTATCACAGGAGTAGCGAGACAGGGAGGGGAGATGGATAGAGGAATTGAGAATAGGATGAGCAGCGTACCACTAGGCAGAGATCAATGTGCATATTGTAGAGAAGAAGGACATTGGAAGGATTGCCCACAGAGGGGATATATTATAGGTGGTAGACAAGATGAGAGAAGGGGGCGAGGTGGTTACGGTGGTAGCTTTAGAGGACGAGGAAGAGGAAGTTTTGGAGGAATTAATGGAAATGGCAGAGGGGGTGTTCAGGAAGGAAGATATTATCCCCCTACTCAGAGACCTAGGGATAGGGAAGATAGAGATTTTGTGGCTCTGGCTGACACTGTTATGGAAGACTATTGATACCGACCGGGCTCCATCCCCCTTGGCCAAGCTTATCCTATGGTCGATGTAACAATAGGGGGAAAGAGAAGTCCTTTCATGATTGATACGGTAGCTGAACATTCTGTGGTGACTAAGTTGGTAGCTCGCCTTCTGGAAAGACTGTAACTGTAATAGGAGCTACTGGGAGAAGCACTGCTAGACCGGTTCTCAGGAGTCGCACTTGCATTTTAGGAGGCCATTTTGTGAAGCACCAGTTCCTATATATACCAGAGTGTCCAATTCAACTTCTAGGATGAGATCTATTATCAAAGCTTCAAGCTCAGATAACTTTTCTACCTCATGGATCAACATCTCTGAAGTTTAATAAATCACCAGGCATGATAGCAGTATTGGTACCAAAATAAGAAGAATGACGCTTCTACTCTGTAATAACAAATGCAAACCCTAAGAGTGATGGATCTTTATTTGACATTCCAGGAGTATGGGCAGAGAATAATCCTCCAGGACTTGCTCGTAATATCGCACCGATACATACTGAACTAAAACTTGGGGCCTACCCTGTGAGCCTACGCCAGTATCACATACCTCAGAAGGCCAAGAAGAACATACAGATCTACTTGGATAAGTTTGTGAAGTATGGCATCCTAAAATTCTGTACCTCCCGTTGGAACACTCCATTATTACCTGTTCAGAAACCAGGATCAGATGAGTATCGTCCTGTACAAGATTTAAGAGCAGTTAATGATGCAGTAGTTAATATACACCCAGTGGTACCCAACCCCTATAATCTGCTTGCCCTAATTCCTGGTGGGGCAACTTACTTTACAGTCCTAGATCTTAAAGATGCTTTCTTCTGCCTTCGACTTGCTGTTGAAAGTCAGTGCATCTTTGCTTTTCAATGGGAAGATGCTGTTACGAGATCAAAGCGTCAGATGACTTGGACCAGGTTGCCTCAAGGATTCAAGAATTCACCTACCCTATTTGGATCTGCACTGAGTCAAGATTTACAAGACTTCAAATCAGGGGCGTATTAGCCGCGAGGCAAACAAGGCATTTGCCTTGGGCGGCATTTTTCAGGGGGCGGCAAAAAAATCCGCCCCCAAATGCCCAGGGCAAATGTCTTGTTAGCCTCGCGGCTAACAGACATGCCGGGCGCTGGGCGCTGGGTGGCTGGCGAGGGAGCTCTTCCTCTGAGCTGACTGCTCAGCTCCCTCGCGCGCTGCAGAGTGAGGCTGGGAGCCGGAATATGACGTCATCTTCCGGCTCCCAACCTCACTCTGCGGCGCGCGAGGGAGCTCAGAGGAAGAGCTCCCTCGCCAGTGCCGCCCGCCTGCCAGCCCGACTGGCAACCACTGGACCACCAGGGAGAAAGAGGAACCCCCCCTCCCAGCACTCCCAAAGGTAAGGAGGCTGGGGGGGGGGGTTAAATAAAAAGAAAACTTTTTTTGATGTGAGTGTGTGTGTGTGTCTGACTGTGTGTGTGTGTCTAACTGTGTGTGTTTGTGTCTGACTGTGTGTTTGTGTCTGACTGTGTGTGTGTGTTTGTGTCTGACTGTGTGTGTGTGTGTTTGTGTCTGACTGTGTGTGTGTGTCTGACTGTGTGTGTGTGTGTTTGTGTCTGACTGTGTGTGTGTGTGTGTGTTTGTGTCTGACTGTGTGTGTGTGTGTGTCTGACTGTGTGTGTGTGTGCCTGACTGTGTGTGTGTGTGTTTGTGTCTGACTGTGTGTGTGTGTGTGTCTGACTGTGTGTGTGTGTGTGTGTGTGTTTGTGTCTGACTGTGTGTTTGTGTCTGACTGTGTGTGTGTGTGTGTGTGCCTGACTGTGTGTGTGCCTGACTGTGTGTTTGTGTCTGACTGTATGTGTGTCTGACTGTGTGTCTGTGTCTGACTGTGTGTGTGTGTCTGACTGTGTGTTTGTGTCTGACTGTGTGTGTGTTTGTGTCTGACTGTGTGTGTGTGTGTGTCTGACTGTTTGTGTCTGTCTGTGTGTGTGTTTGTGTCTGACTGTGTGTGTGTTTGTGTCTGACTGTTTGTGTGTGTATTTAGAAGTTGGGGCGGGGGGGAAGGGTTGGGTGGGGGTCGTGCGGGGGGAGGAGGGTGCCTGAGTTTTGTCCTACCTAGGGCAGCACAAAACCAGGATACACCACTGCTTCAAATCCATCCCAGGGGAATGTGTATTGCTTCAGTACGTGGATGATCTCTTGATAGCCGCAGTTACTAAAGAGATGTGCCAACAAGCAACCCATGATCTACTCCAGTCAAGATTTACAAGACTTCAAATCAGGGGCGTATTAGCCGCGAGGCAAACAAGGCATTTGCCTTGGGCGGCATTTTTCAGGGGGCGGCAAAAAAATCCGCCCCCAAATGCCCAGGGCAAATGTCTTGTTAGCCTCGCGGCTAACAGACATGCCGGGCGCTGGGCGGCTGGCGAGGGAGCTCTTCCTCTGAGCTGACTGCTCAGCTCCCTCGCGCGCTGCAGAGTGAGGCGGGAGTCGGAATATGACGTCATCTCCTCACTTCTCTGCGCGCGGAGCTCAGAGGAGAGCCCCCGCCAGTGCCGCCGCCTGCCAGCCCGACTGGCAACCACTGGACCACCAGGGAGAATCTTCCAGCAGCACCCCAAAGGTAAGGAGGCTGGGGGGTTAAATAAAAGAAAACTTTTGATGTGAGTGTGTGTGTGTGTCTGACTGTGTGTGTGTGTCTAACTGTGTGTGTTTGTGTCTGACTGTGTGTGTGTGTTTGTGTCTGACCTGTGTGTGTGTGTGTTTGTGTCTGACTGTGCGTGTGTGTGTGTTTGTGTCTGACTGTGTGTGTGTGTGTGTGTGTGTCTGACGTGTGTGTGTGTGTGCGTCTGACTGTGTGTGTGTGTGTGTGCCTGACTGTGTGTGTGTGCCTGGACTGTGTGTGTGTGCGCCTGACTGTGTGTGTGTGTTTGTGTCTGACTGTGTGTGTGTCTGACCGTGTGTGTGTGTGTGTGTGTGCCTGACTGTGTGTGTGCCTGACTGTGTGTTTGTGTCTGACTGTATGTGTGTCTGACTGTGTGTCTGTGTCTGACTGTGTGTGTGTGTCTGACTGTGTGTTTGTGTCTGACTGTGTGTGTGTTTGTGTCTGACTGTGTGTGTGTGTGTGTCTGACTGTTTGTGTCTGTCTGTGTGTGTGTTTGTGTCTGACTGTGTGTGTGTTTGTGTCTGACTGTTTGTGTGTGTATTTAGAAGTTGGGGCGGGGGGGAAGGGTTGGGTGGGGGTCGTGCGGGGGGAGGAGGGTGCCTGAGTTTTGTCCTACCTAGGGCAGCACAAAACCAGGATACACCACTGCTTCAAATCCATCCCAGGGGAATGTGTATTGCTTCAGTACGTGGATGATCTCTTGATAGCCGCAGTTACTAAAGAGATGTGCCAACAAGCAACCCATGATCTACTCCATATTCTTTGGAGGGCAGGTTACAAGGTATCAAGGAAGAAGACACAATTGTGTCAGCCAACTGTCAAGTATTTAGGCCTTGCAACTAGCTTTGGGGTTGAGAGTGAACATCTATACGGATTCAAAATATGCCTTCTTAACAACTCATGCCCATGGAGCATTGTATAAAGAAGGAGGTGGTACCTACTCTGGTTGGGTAGAGGCGTGTGCTACTCGTACAGAAAAAGCAGGAGCAGTTGTACGGTTTCTGTTACGGGAAGTTATACCCAGATATGGACTTCCGTGTTCTATAGGATCTGATAACGGTCCAGCTTTTGTCCATCAATGTTTACAACAACTGACTCATGTACTTGGCATCAAGTGAAAACTCCATACTGCTTATAGGCCTCGGAGTTCTGGAAAGGTATAAAGGATAAACAGAATGATAAAGACTCAATTGGCTAAAATGTGTCAAGAAACTCAGCTCAAGTGGAATGTCCTTTTGCCAATAGCTCTGTTGCGAATACGTAGTACTCCTACTAGAAGAATGGGTCTGTCTCCCTTTGAAATTATGTATGGGCGTCCACCTCCCATACTCAGTAACCTAAGGGGGGACTTATGTCAGTTAGGTGACGGAATTACTTGGCAGCAGGTTGTGGAGTTGGGTAAAACTATGGAGGAGGTACAGAAATGGGTGCAGGATAGATTACCTGTGAACATATATCCACCTGTTCACTCATACCATCCGGGAGACCAAGTATGGATAAAAGAATGGAATACTGTCCCATTGCGTGGAGAGGTCCTTATTGTAAAGGATCCTTCT